TGAGGGAGGAGGAGGAGGAGGAGGAGGTGTGGGCTTAGAGTGAGGCGCGTGGACGCCACCTCTTCCCGGAACACCGCCTGGCTGCTGCTGCTGCCGCTGCTGCCGCTTTCATCTCGGCTGGAGGTCAAGGAGGAGGAGGAGGAGGAGGGAGGGGAGGGGAAGGAGGGGTGGGGTTAGAATGAGGCGGTTGACGCCACCTCTTCCCGGAACGCCTGGCTGCTGCCGCTGCTGCTCTCATCTCATATCTCGGCGGGAGAGCGAGGAAGAGGAGGAGAGGGAGGGGGAGGGGGAGGAGGGGTGGGGTTAGAATGAGGAGAAGAAAAGTCCCGGTTTAGTTACGGAGGAAGGGTGGGGAGAAAATGAAGAAGGAAAGCGGATGGGGTTAGAATCAGGGAGAAAGTGTGGGGGTAATATTAGGGTTAGGGTTAGGGTTGGAGTAGAAGGGTGGAAAATACGGCGTAGTAGGGTTGGGGTTGGAAGGAGGGGGAGGAGGGTGTGTCAGAATAATTGAGAGTAAGGCATGATTAAAATGAGGGTGAGGAGAGGTGAGGCTATAAGGAGGCGTCAGGGAGTAGAAGGGGTGGTGGACACGGTAATTATATTGACATTCTCGCTCGTTTTTTTTCAGCGCGTGTTTGTTATTTTAGAGTCGCACGCAGTACGCGTGAGACTGTTTGCGCACGCTAGATTTTACTACGTGTACGATGATTCGCTCGGTTCGCATCCATGTTTATTCAAGTTGCAAATCTGCACGCGCCTGTGTTCCTTCAGCATCCACCTCATTCGTCTCTCATGTCTGTCTCTCTCTCTCTCTCTCTCTCTCTCTCCTCTCTCTCTCTCTCTCTCTCTCTCGTCGTCTCTCCNGACTCCTCCCTCCCTCCCTCCCTCCCTCCCTCCCTCCCTCCCTCCTCCCTCCCTCCCTTCCTCCATCCCTCTCTCCTTACCTCTGGCACGAGGTGTGTCTGGCCTGCGTGGTACGTATGCTGCGCTATCAGACCCGCCACGCTAGCGTAGGACTTCACCAGCTCAGCGAGCATGCGGCAGATAGCGGACTTCCTCCCTCCCTCCTCCCTCCCTCCCTTCCTCCCTCCCTCCCTTCCTCCTCCCTCCCTCCCTTCCTCCCTTTCTCCTCCCTCGCACCTTACTGGGCACGCAGGTGCTGCTCGGCCTGCGTGGTATGTATGCTGCCTATCAGACCCGCCGACGCAGCGTAGGACTTAAACAAGCTCACCAGCATGCGGCAGATGGCGACTTCGAAGCAGCGGGCGCGTCTTCTTCGCGGCGTCCTCGGCCTTGGCAGGCGCGGCGCGCCGCCGCGCCGTCCTTCCCGCCGCGAGCCTTCTCCTTCCCGGAGCTGCGGGCGTCTCCTGGAACCAACGGCAACGACAACCGATGCATGCGTGACATGCTACGTGTGATACCACTACGAGCGTGACATTACCGTGATGCTACGGTACGTGATCATCTAACGGTGATATCTAACGAGCCGTGACATTTACAGCGTGATAGCTACGAGCGTACATCTACCGTGTGAAACTACGAGCGGACATTTACGCGTGAGTAGCTAACGAGCGTGACATCTAACTTGATGTGATATCTACGAGCGTGAGCATCTATCGTGTGAATATCTATCGAGCGTGAGACATTGTACGCGTGATAAGCTACGAGCGTGACATCTGACTGTGATATCTACGGAGCGTCGACATTTACGCAGTGGATACGCTACGATCGGATCATTTACGCGTGAACATCTTACGACGTGACATTTACGCGTGATAGCTACGAGTGACCATCTACGTGTGATATCTACGACGTCGAGCATTTAACGTACGCGTATAGCTACGAAACTCTGACATTGTACCGTGACATTTACCGTGATAGCTACGATCGTGACATTACCGTTGACATTTATCGGCGTGACATTTACGCGTGATAGCTACGATCGTGACATTTACGTGTGCAGAGCTACGTCGTGACATTTACGTGTGATATCTTAGCGAGTGTGACATTACGTTGATAGCCGCAAGCGTGACCATTTATGCGTATATCTACAAGCGTGACATTTTACTGCGTGATATCTACAAAGCGTGAACATTACGTGTGATATCGTACGAGCATGACATTTACGTGTGAATATCTACGAGTGTGACATTTACGTGTGAATGCTACGAGTGTGACATTTATGCGTGATATCTACAAGCGTGACATTTGCGTGTGATATCTACAGCATGAAATTATACATGTGATATCTACGAGCGTGACATTTACGCGGTGAAATATCTTACGAGTGTGACATTTATGCGTGATATCTAACAAGTGACATTTACGTGTGATATCTACAGAGTGACATTACCGTTGATACTCACGAGTGGACATTTCTTCATACGAGTGAATTCATATCTGTTACTCGAGTGTGACCATTTAGGTGTACTGTGTAATTTATGCATAACTACAAGCGTGACATTTACGTGTGATATCTACGAGCATCACAATGACCGTGGATATCTACGAGTGTGACATTTACGCGGTGTGATATCGTAGCGAGTGTGACATTTACGCGTGTAGCTACGTGTGCATTTACGCGTGATAGCTTATTCAGGCCCCCAATCGTGACCATTTACGTGTGATATCTACGATCGTGACATTTACCGTCGGATCTCTATGAGTTGTGAAGATTTACGCGTGAATCTATGAGTGTGACTTCACAGCTTGTGATATTACGAGTGTGACTATTTACGGCGTGATAGCTAGAGGCAATGACATTTACGCTGTGATATCTACGAGGCATGGACATTTACCATGTGATTATCATACGAGTGTGACTTAAGCGTTATCACTACGATGTGATATTATGCGGTGATCTGACAAGTGTGACATTTTGCGTGGAATCTTCCAGAGCGTGAACATATTACGTGTGATATCTACGAAGCGTGACATTTAACGTGTGATTATCTACGAGCATGACATTTACGGTCGTGAATCTACTGAGTCGACATTTACGTGTGATCATATCTTACGAGCTGGACATGTTACATGGTGATATCTACGAGCTGCACATTTAGCATGTGATATCTACGGCGTACAGTGGATGAGCTGAATTACGTGTGATTATCTAGAGCATGACTATTTACGTGTGATATCTCGCAGATGTGACATTTACGTGTGTGATGAATCTACGAGTGACGATTACGTGTGATATGTACGAGTGTGACATTTAACGTGGTGAATACTTACGAGGTCGACAGCTTCCGGTGGATATCTACGAGTGTGAATTAACGTGGATATCTACGAGTGTGGAACATTTACGTGTGACTTTAACGTGTGAATCTACGAGCGTGACATTCACCTGTTGATATCTACGCAGTGTGAGCATTTACAGCCTGTGAAATCTACGCAGCGTGACATTTACGGCGTGATATATACGAGCGTGAACATTCTATGTGTGATATCTACGACCGTGACATTTATGTGTGATTATCTACCGAGTGTGACATTTACGTGTGATACTACGTAGCGGTGACATTATGTGTGATATCTACGTGAGCGTTGACATTTACGTGTGATATCTGAGTGTGACATTTACAGGTGATATCTACGAGCGTGACATTTAGTGTGAACATCTACATGTGTGATATAGCTGAGGCCTGAGCATTTACATGTGATAGCTACGTAGTTGTGATATTACGTTGATGATCTACGAGTGTGACATTTTCGTGTGATATCTACAGCGTGACCATTTAACTGTGTGATATCTACGAGCGTGATACGATTACCTGTGATATCCTACGAGGTGTGACATTACGTGTGAATTACGAGCGTGACATTTACGTACAGCAGGTACCGCGTGAATCTACGAGCGTGACATTTACGGTCGTGATATCTACGAGCGTGACATAGTTGATAACGCTGAACTTTAGTTGATCTCCGAAAGTGATGACATTTATGTGTGACATCTACATGTGATATCCTAAGAGTGTGACTATTCTACATGTGATAGTACGAGTGTGATATCATTACGTGTGATATCTACGAAGTGTGAGCATTCACAGCTATGTGTGAGCATGTGCGGCAGTGATATGACGATGGGATGAGGCGATCTGAGCGCAATGGTGGCGGCGTGTTAGCGGTATTACATGTCGTTAACGGATTCGGTTAGGATTCTTCGTGAAAGCGTTGATAGTTGAGGCGTTAGAAAAAGATTAAGCAATTGTGCTTGCATTTACCTGTGTCACATCATATGTACTATAGGCTACGTGTGACATTCACGTGTGACATCGAGCAGTGTGTCACATACCTGTGTGTCATCTACCTATATGTGACATTTACCTGCATGTCACGTACCTGTGTCATCTACCTATATGTGACATTTACCTGTGTGTCACCTATGTATACGTGACACGTACCTGCGTGTCATCTTCCTCCGTAGAGACGCTGAAAACGCCGGGCACCGCCTGCTGGTGCTGCACCCTGGAGGGAGCCGACGCAATGACAAACTTGCTGGAGCTGTCTTTCTTCTTCTCCTGCTCCTTCGAAGCTGCTGATGGGATGGAGAGAGAGGATGCAATCCCACGTGCTGTCAGCATACGCTACTCAACGCTCGACTACTCTATGTAGGTACGTTAACTCAAACGCGTCGTAATTACTATAATAATAATTACGATAATTATTATAACGAAATTATATTTATTATAATTATTATTATTATTATCAATATTGTTATTACTATTGTTGTTATTATTATTATTATTATCAATATTGTTATTACTATTGTTGTTATTAGCATTATCATGATCGTTATTAAGATCATTATTATTCTTTTTATTTATATTATCATTATTATCTTTACAATTTTTATTATTATAATTATGATCATCATTATTCTGTGATTGGTCGCACGATTCACAGCACCTCGCTGACCCCTCGTATCACGCAAAGGTCACGCAGAGGTCACCGCGTGACTGACCTTCAGGCTGCGGCCGCTCGACCTTGACGACGAGGGCGTTGAGAAGGTCGACGATGACGTCGCGGATGTAGGCTTCCATCGGCGGAGCGCGAAGCCCCGTTCGCGGCGGGAGGCTGCGGAGAATCTGCGGCGCGTTCGGTCCGACCAGCCGCGCGTCGTCCTCCTCTGTAACCATGGCAACGACGACGATGCAGCGTGACATTTATGCATTATATCTACGAGTGTGACATTTACGTGTGATATCTACGAGTGTCACATTCACCTGTGTGTGACATGCGCGGCAGTGATGACGAGGGATGAGGACGGATCGTGAGCGCAATGGTGGCGGTGTGATTAGCGGTTAATTAACGTCTCGTTAACGAATCGTTAGGGATTCTTCGTGAAACGTTGATCGTTGAGCGATTAGAGGAAGATTAAGCAATTGTGTTGCATTTACCTGTGTCACATCATACGTACTATAGGCTACGTGTGACATACACGTGTGACATCGAGCAGTGTGTCACATACCTGTGTGTCATCTACCTTTATGTGACATCTACCTGTGTGTGACATACCTGTGTGTCATCTACGTT